TTGGCCTTCTTGGCCACCTGGGCACACTGCTGGCTCATGTTCAGACGGTTGTCCACCAACACCATCAGGTCCCTCTCTGCCTGGCACCTCTCCGGCCGCTCATCCCCAAGCCTGTAGTGGTGCTGGGGGTTGTTGTGGCCAAAGTGCATGACCCGGCACTTAGGCGTATTTAAACTCATGGAACTGGCCTTGGCCTAGCAATCCAGCCTGTCTAGATCCATCTGTAGAGCCTCCCTTCCCTCAAGCAAATCGACACTTCCGCTCAACTTTGTGTCGTCTGCAAACTTACTAAGGGTGCACTCTGTCCCCTTGTCGAAATCATTGATAAAAATGTTAAACAGGAGTGGCCCTAGTACTGAGCCCTGGGGGACACCACTCGTGACCGACTGTCAACTGGATTTAACTCCATTGACCACAACTCTTTCGACTCGGCCATCCAACTAGATTTTCACCCAGTGAAGCGTATGCCCATCCAAACAAGAGCAGGCAATTTCTCTATGCTGTGGGCAACAGTGTCAAATACCTTACTAAAGTCAAGGTAGACAACATCCACAGCTTTTTGTTCATCCAACAAGTGGGTCACCGTGTCATAGAAGGAGATCAGGTTTGTTAAAAAGGATCTGCCCTTCATAAACCCATGCTGACTGGGACTGATCACTTGGTTGTCCTGCGTGTGCTGTACAATGGAACTCAGGATGATCTGCTCTATCAGCTTCCCTGGCACTGAAGTTAAACTGACAGGCCTGTAATTTCCTGGATCATCCTTCTGTCCCTTCTTATAGATGGGTGTTGTATGGGCTGACTTCCAATCAGCTGGAACATCCCCAGTCAGCCAGGACTGCTGATAATTAATGGACAGTGGCTTGGTGATGGCCCTTTTTTTTTTTCCATGTTGATTTCCACTGTCAGTAAGAAGCTCTCCGTTTTTTTTTCTTTCTATTAACCAGGTACTTCATGGGAAGATGAACAAACCAGTCAGAGACTACATAAAGAGGTTTCTTGCACCTTTCCACAAAAAATGAGAGACAGTAAATCCACTTCTTCCAGACCCTCTTCCCCAGCACAACTTGAAGCAACTGAGAAAATGAAGCAAGTCAAAACTAGATTGCAGCTGGTGGACCTGGCTGGGAGCGAGTGTGTTGGTAAGTGCACATGTCTGTTCATGGGCAGGGGTCCTCCCAGATCTAGGTTACAATAGTTGCCTTTACCTCTTTAGGTAGGGATGCATGCCACCCCAGTGTCACATGGGGTCATTTAAATCCACCAATCTTGACATAAAGAAAATGCTGGGGGCTGACCGTTCCAGTTTGACACTGGTACAGTTTAACAGAAAATCTGACTGCATAAGCTTGAAATCAGCCTGGGGTGGTTACTCATATCATAGGTATATTATTTGTTCAGACTGGTTTTATTAGGCCTGTTTTTCTGAAAATTAGCATGTCTTTGTACAGAAATGTTTAAAGTGCATAAATTACTTAAATATTACAAATATCTGTAATAACTGATATAACCATGTGTGGGGTTTTTTGCCTTATTGTGGAAAAAAGTCTTGGAGGAAGTTAGTGTTGAAAAGATAATAATATTGTTTTCATTGCTTCTTCAAAGCATTTTCCTCCTCCTGCCTCCTCTATGTACACAATAATTTCAAAAACTTGAGTATTTCCTAAAGGACAAGCTTTCTTACCAAGAAGAGCCATGCAGCCAAACGTACCATTCCAGAAATAATGTTTTGAAAACTGAACCAGTATTATGAAAGAGTCTTTTACTTTACTGCCAAGAATTCTTGCTGTTGCTCACTGTTAAACTTTTGTTCTACAGAGAAACCTAATATAATACATTATTTTTTTCATTTGCTCTGAGTGCTGAAAACTGTTTGGTAAACATGTAATTGAGCAACAGTGTATGTGTTTTGTTCTCTCAGTTCAACCAGTACAAACATTTACTTGGTTTGGGGCTCCACAGAAGCCAGAAGAGCTGTACTCCCTTGCATTAGCATTAGATGTACCCAGCCCAGGCAGCCGAGTAACCTCTGCCGCCAGCTGTGCCAATGGACTTACTCTGATACAGGAGAGGACAGCTGTTAATTTGTAAATGTTTCAAAATGAGGACAAGTCTCAAGTGAGCAGTAATACTGGGTGCTGAAGTCAGCCTTGTTAGCACCCTGCCTTGTTAGCTCTACAGCCATCCCACCTCATTCACAGTGTTTACAAGCTTAAATAGTCCCTTTTTAGCAAACTAAGTTTTGGTTTGAAAGCTCAGCTAAATGCTTTTTGCACCTAACCAAACGTAGAGAACTACCGGTTTAAATGTGCACCCCATCACCTATTTGCACTTTTCTGTTTATGGTGACATCCATTGTCACAGAAGTCTGCATCTTCTTGCTGTAAAAGAAATTCATCTGAGACGCATCCTGTCTCAGGCTACTGGCACCCTGTGTCAGCCCAAGCAGTTTTGCTCTGTGCCTGCTACCACGAGACTTGACCACTCCAGCCTCATCCTCACCCACAGTCCAATTTCTCCAGCCCTCACTATCCAGCCTTCTGGGTGTTTTTGCTATTACCTGTGCCTTTTCACATTTGCTTCTCGCACACCTCTCTTGCTCTTCCAGTTTGGAAAATGCTGGCCTAAAGGGAAAGCAAGATCCGTAGTCTCTCTCTGTACCTCTCTTGAGGTGGGGCAGTAGGCAGTTGAGGAAACTGTTACCTCCATCTGATCACCTCGCTTCCATTAGCTCTGCCCAGCATGGAGCAATATGCTCCAGGTAATGAGAAGTGTTTGCAGATGTAGCTGTACCTCATCTACTACCCTGAGGAAAGGTTCAATTTGAATAATCAATTTGATTCTAAATGCTAATAGCAAGTTTTTCTTCCCCAAATGGCAGAGGTGAGGACAGAAGGAATTAATTACTCATAACCTCACACTCATCCAGACTGGTTAAAGAGTTGAGCTCGCAGCATCTCTTTAAGTTGGTGCAATGTGATGTGTAGACCAAACCTTTCCAGTGTTGCTCAAAAGCAGCATAGCTACGGACACTATGCTGTGCAGGTGGTAGAAGGGCATAATTTTCCTTTATCAATTTCCTTAAAGTAACTCATACCCCAAAACAGACTTTTTTTTAGAGAATTTGGTAAACATAAACCTCCTACACTCATGGCTGCTGGGCATTTTTGCTTCCACAGCTTATGTCATCAGCCTAACTCCTGTTTTTCCTATGGGATATGGACAAGGGAGTTGATTATAAAAAATGGTGGAACACAACAGGCTTCTCCCTGGGGACACTGCAGTCTGGTGTTTTCAAAAGCACCGTTGTCTTGTCTGATCCTATAGTGTTCCTACTGTTGTGGTTTGACCCTAGCTGGTGGCCAGGTGGCACAGAGATGCTCTCTCACCTCCCCTTCTCTCCTAGACAGGGCAAGAAAATATAACAAAGGGCCCATGGTTTGAGGTAAGGACAGGGAGGTCACTTGCATGTACCATCTCGAGCAAAACAGACTTGATTTTGGGGAAATCAGTTAAATTTATTAAAAGAACAAATCAGACAAGAGTACTGAGAAATAGAAAACAAATCTTAAAAAAACCAAACCCACAATAAAAACCCCACACCTTCCCCCATCCCTCCCTTCCCTCCAGGCTTAACATCAATCCCGGTTTATCCACCTCCTTCCCCCGAGCGGCGCAGGGGGACAGGGAATGGGGGTTACAGTCAGTTTATCTGATTTTGGTTCTACCACTTCTTCTTCCTCTGGGGGAGGACTCTTCACACTTCCCCTAGGACATTGTAGGGTCCCTCTCACGGGAGACAAGGTTCGCACACACTTCTCTAGTGTGAGTCCTCTCACGAAGGGCAATTTGTCACAAACTGCCCAATGTGAGTCACCTCACAAGGGGTAATCCACCCCAGCGTGAGTCTGAGGTGCAGTCCTTCAGGGAAACTGCTCCAGCCTGAGTCCCCCGCAGTGTCACAGAAGACTCACCGGCCAACCTGCTCCAGTGTGGGC